CGGGGCCGGGGATCGGGGGGCAACGCGAGGCCCCACCTCCCCCAGTCCTTCCCGAAGTCTAGACAGTCCCCAGACCACCCTACAACCCAAATCGTCCTCTGGCGCCCCAGAAAATCGCCGCAGCCCCGCCCTCCCACCGGCCCCCCGCAACGCACCTCTTGGAACCGCTCTGAGCCCCGTCACTGCTGCGAGTTCCCCTGTTCACCCACAGGCCCGGCCTTCCATCCTGGACGCCCCCAAGGGCTTCCACCACCCAGAGATTCCCTAGCCCCCACGCTTGCACCTTGCTCACGTGCCCCTGAGCCCCTTCATTTAGCCCCAGTCCTCCTCGTTCCCTTTAATCCCACCCTTCATCCAACCCCGCCCGATGTCATCCCCCCTCTCCACTGATACACCCCGCTAGCTTAGCCATGCCCTTGGTTTTACCCCATACTCCCGGTTGATGGCTTGAACCCCAATATTTTCTCCAAGCCCCTGCCTGTAGGCCGTGCACACTTGACTCAGCTTGCGCCCCGCCTCCCAGAGGAGCAATTTGGACCCAGGCTCCAGGGTACTCAGAAGCAGCAAAACAGACTTGCAGTTTGCTGAAGCATGAACCGGCTCTCTTACCAGCACAGCCCTGTGTCATGTTGAGGACACTACTTGTAGAGCCAGTCTTCTGCAAAGATGGAGTGGGGTTTGGGTGATGGTTTTAACAGGATCCAGAGGGGGAGGGGCTCAGGGGTGACTTCAAAGCCTTGGGGTGTCTCAAACTTCAAACTCACAGATGCTACTAGGGGAAGAAGGTCTCTCTCTGGTCCCTGGAGATTTAGAATCGGATCCCACTGCCCTTGATTGCTTTCTTCAGTGGTGTTTTTGCTCCATTCGAGGTTGGAACAGACTTGCCGGGACTGATAACAGGCTGGTTTCATCAGCAATTAGGGGTGAGGGTAGAAGGGCCCCGCTAACCTTTGGTCTCTGTCTCCTTTGCCAGGTGAGCCCAGACGTGACCCAGAGGGATCCAGGTGACATCTTGGCAGACTGCTTGCCATGACATCCCACCAAGGACTGGGAGACTAAAGTGGGGTCCTTCCCCATGCCCCTCCCTTGGTCTGCTCCCCGATGGCCTGGGTGAGGTAAGAGCTCTGTAGGAAGCTAGACCTGGGGGGGTTTCCCACATTGGGGTGAGTGGCAGGTGCAGGTTCTCCCTGGCTCCCTCAAGGAAGTTTTGCCAGGATATCTCACTCACAGACCCCTCAACTTCTCATAGTGTCACGGGCCAGTTGCGTGCCCATCCCCTGGGTCATTCACGGGGCTTCTTCATCCTTGACACAGGCCTGAAGTCGAGGTTAGAGAATCCCCACAACAGCACCCTAGAGGGGAAAACCCGAATTGTAAGGTCTCTGGTTCCCCCTCAGACTAAGGGGCGCAGACCCTGCATTTCCTCCTTGTGATGAGGTCGGTCAAAGCCAAGTTGTAAAACTCCCGCCCTGGTCTAAGTGTTCAGGCTTCAGGCTGTATCTCGGTGACCTGACGCACTGCCTCATTGGCCAAGAACCTCTAACAGACCCGTCAGAGGCGGGGGTTGGGGAGGGGATGCAGGAGAGGGAAGAGAGACTGTGGATGGTGTGGGACAAATGTGGTCACAAAGGAGGGAAGGGAGGAGAGGCACAGGCCTCAGTGTCTGCACTCTGGGCTTAGAGCATCTTTGGTGAATCTGGGTGAGGACCCCCGGCTGGTACCCAAGTCCTATGCAAGTCACTTCTTCCGAATGCTTACCCGCATCTCTAGACAGGCTTCCCTGTCTAGCAAGCCCTGCTGTCCAGGTTTCCCTTCCAGCTGGGCTTGTGGCTGCCATCAAGTTGGGCCCCCACCGCATGAAGACCCCCTGGCCCCACTGAACTCCGTTCTGCCTGGTCCTGGCCACCTCCACCCACCCCCGGAGCTCACCAGGCCTTTCTTCTTTGCCCATCTTATCTGGTGGCACTGCTGTAGGCGGCTTAGCATCCCAGAGCCCCACCCACCTCTCAGGGTCCAGACCCAGGGTGGCCTCTGAGGCGCCCTGCCTGTCCTCCCCTGGGTGTTAGTCCTTCACCCATTCTAACCTGAATTAACGCTACCCAGCGTGCAGCCAGCCCAGGATTCAGAAAGTGCATTCCTTGAGGGGAGGGACTGTGTCGCAACAGCCCTGGGGGCAGAGGAGATGCAGATGCGCAGCCGACTGGCCGCCGCTGGACTTCCCGGAGCAGAGCTCTGTGCTGCAGCCCTTGGTGACTTGCCTGCCCCTTGTGCTTTTCCCCAGGGGAGACTGGCCGCTCTGACATCATGGGGAGCTGCTGCAGCTGCCTGAACAGAGACAGCGTCCCGGACAACCACCCCACCAAGTTCAAGGTACCCACAACTTCCCCCTCCCCGAGGGCCTGGCGGGGGGTGGGGGGAAGTGTGCCAGGCCCAGACCGTGCTGTTGTTGCCTTGCTTCAGCCTTCCTGGAGGAGGGGACGCGGCAGGCACCCAAGGGAGGGCTGACTTCTCCTGTCAGGGCCTCGGAGCTGCAGAGGGTCTGAGGGAAAGGGGGCCGCTGTGGGGTGGGTTTGCAGGAGTTGGGGACTGCCCTAGCCTGGCTGCACAGTGCGTGTGCCTGCCACGTCTAACTGGTTCTACCAGCTGCCAAGGAGCCACTGCACACCCTCCCCAGGGCTTTCAGTCCGTAGATGGCCCAGCCTTTCTCTGAAACGCCTCAAGGGAACTCAACCCTCCGGCCTGTTCCCTGCCTACACCTCCTGGGGACACGGCAGGAACTGTGCGAGGAACTGCTTGGAAGACGGCACTGAGACTGTGTTTGAGAGTCAGTCGTGAGGAAAGGCAGGGTGTCAGCTGGGGAGGGGATGTGGTGGGGAGCAGCCGCCGGAGGCTCAGAGGCGCCACACAAACATGAAGTTGGCCCTCTTCCTGCTGTGGTGCCCCACTCTCCCCATACTGCCCTGCTCGAGCCTCTGAAGCTCAGGAGAGTCAGTACTGACTCAAAGCGACCCTAAGAACCGCCCTGTGGGTTTCCCAGACAGTAACTCTTTACTGGAGCCGAGAGCCTTGTCTTTCTCCCACGAGTGGCTCTGGGGGTTTCCAAGTGCGGCCGTGCAGTCAGCAGACCAGCGCATAACCTGTAGCAGCAGGGCTGAGCCCGTGGCACATACTGTGGACCTGTGTGCTAGTTGCTCTGAGAAGTGAGGGCCAGACCCAGCGTACCTCTCCGTGCCTGCCCTACCTCCCAGGAGAAGCCCCTAGGCTGCACCCCAGACGGAAGGGGTGGCGACACAGGAGCTGATGGGCTGCCAGCAGAGGGCGCCCACGGCAAGCCATGCGGTGGGAAACCCAAGGGGAGCCCAGTGCCTGCCAGCGGTATCTAACTCGCAGCCACCCTCTAAGGACAGTAGGAGGATTCTCCAGGGGTTCTGAGAATTCCTCCCCATCTGTCTAGCCCATATGCGGAAACCTGAGGCTCCACGGGAAGGGATCTGCCCAGAGAACCGAGGTGGGTTGCAGGGGGTGGGGAGGACACTGCTTTGCGTAGGGCTTTTGCCCAGGTCTTCACTTCCGTGGCCTGGCCGGCTGAGACCTGCAGCCCTCCAGCTCGGGCCCTGCAGTAGCCAGCTTGGCCTTCACCGTGGAGGGCTCAGCCGTGGACCCTCTCTGGACTCCCCCCCCCCGCCCCCCAGGTGACAAACGTGGATGATGAGGGCGTGGAGCTGGGCTCCGGGGTGATGGAGCTGACACAGGGCGAGCTGGTGCTGCACCTACATCGGCGCGAGGCTGTGCGCTGGCCCTACCTCTGCCTGCGCCGCTACGGCTATGACTCCAACCTCTTCTCCTTCGAGAGCGGCCGCCGGTGTCAGACGGGCCAGGGTGAGTACCGCCCAGCCCGGCCCCGAAGACTCTGGGACGCCACTTGTTGGCAGTTGAGGGTGGACGTTAGCATCCACCCCAGCCCTGGGACCTGGTCGCTGTTGCCTGAGAGGAGCCAGGTCCCGGCATGTTCTTCCAGGGCTATGTGACTTCCTCCTTGGTCCAGGGGCCAAGCATTGACTGCACAGCTCACGGGGAAGGCCATGCCCTCCCTCTCTCCAAGTCCAGTTTCAGGGGCTCCCACTGCTCCTGAGTAGAAGTTGGAGTGTGCTGAGAGGTTTGGGGGGCTCTGCTGTCTCCTCAAGAGTTCATCTCTGTCTCCCCTCACCTGTGGGCAGTGGATGAGAGGTGTCCTCCCCTCCTGCCCTCCCTCTCTTTGCAGTCAGAGGTCAGGTCAAGGCAGGTGCTCAGGGGGCAGAGTGAGCAGAGGGGGAGGAAGAAGGCTTCTCTGGTCCTGGCAGTGTGGGGTCTGCCTGCAGGTCCCCGGGGGTGACCTTAGGCCCCAACACTAGCTAAAGCCAACAGCTCTGCCTCCTGGTGAGCCCCTGTGTGTCGGGGGCACTGTGCTCCTCGTGGTTCTCAGTGCCGGTCTGGGGGCCATTCTCCCAGGGCACCTATGGTGGATTTGATCGCCTTTGGTTAGTAGATCCACGTGTGACTGTTCCCCCTGGGACTCCGTGCCCCCTGCCCAGGCTCTCCTGTCCGCCAGGCTTCCCGGCCAGCCTCGCCCCTGCCACATCTCACCAGGATAGTCTGCCCTCGGCCCTGTCCGCCCCAGCCCACTCCCGCAAGCCCAGGGGCCTGGTGACTCCCAGTTGTTTGCACATGTGTACACAGCACAGCACAGAACTCGCACCACAAGAAGCCTCCTTGAGGGCCAGCTGCCCCTGTGCGGTGTGCAAAATCCCAGGCTGGCCCAGCAGCCCAAGGGCACCTTGGGATTCTCGGGGCTTCAGGGCCCGGCCCAGCCCAGCTGCTCCCAGGGCCCTGAGAACTGATTGGAGGGAGGGGCTCCTGGATGGGCTGCCTTGAGGAGCCTCTCAGCCGCCCTGCCTCCTTGCCAGCAGCTCCTCCTGCTCTGCAGTTGAAGCCCCAGGGTTTCGGCTTCTGCACACAGGTGGTGCTTGCCCTGCGGCTCGGCCCTGGGCTCCGTACCCAGTGGCCAGCCGAGAAAAGGGCAGCCCTTCCTGCCTGCAGAGAGCTGAGTGTCGGTGCTCTGCGGGGCTGGAGCTCACTCTTGGGCTGCATGGAGACTTGGGTGGTCCTCAGTTCCGTCCCTTCCCCCTTGGCTTTCTCAGCTCTCTCCTCTAGCCCTGTGTACACACAACCGTATCAAAAAGGATCTCACCCCCGAGGGACCGTGGCCAAAGTGTCAGGTCTAAAGGCATTGGCCCTGAGTCCTGGGGTGGCGTCACGGGCCGTGGGACTCTGGACCCTGGGAGTGATGGAGGCACGCTGAGGAGGCGGAGGGGCTGGGGTTCCGGTCTGTTTCCTGAGCCTGGGCCTCGGTTGAGTTCCTTGGGTCCTAGGCACAGGGTAAGGGGCTCCCCTGCTCCCTCCGCCCTCAGGGATATTTGCGTTCAAGTGCTCTCGGGCCGAGGAGATCTTCAATCTCCTCCAGGACCTGATGCAGTGTAACAGCATCAACGTGATGGAAGAGCCCGTTGTCACCACCCGCAACAGCCATCCTGCAGAGCTCGACGCCTCCCGGGGCCCCCAGCCATCTCACAGTGAGTGCTCCCCACCAAGACCCCCCCCCACACACACACACACACTCACACACTCACCTGCCCAGGCAGCTCAGGCCTCAGAAGACTGCTGTGGGGAGCCGGCCCTTTAGAACAGCCAGGGCGGGTCAAGCTGAGGCTGTGGGGGCTTGGACCTTGTGTGGGCCATGCATGGGAGCAGCCAGGCTGCTATGGAAATGTCAATCAGAGCTCCTTCCTTCTGTCCACTTGGTCATCCGTATCTGTGGGGCCTCTGGCCCAGGCATCCCCAGCCCCAGCTGTCTCCTGGGGAGCATCTATCTCTCTGGGCTCTGTACCAGGGAGGGGGTGGGGGGGACATGTGATAGCTGCAGATGCAGGCGCTGTGGCTGCTGTGGGCTTCGAGGCCCCCCTGGCAGAGCTGGCTGCAGCTGGGGCAGGGCGGGTCTCCCACGGTCCTACGGGCCAGGCCAGGGGAGGTGGGTCTGTGCGGGAAGGCCAAGGGTGGAAGGACACAGAGCAGCTGACCTGGGGCCACCTCTGCCCAGCTCTAGGTTACAGCGTGTCCAGCTTCCACAATGGCTTCCCCAGCTGCCCTGGCGAGGGCCTGCGCTTCTCGGCCCCCCGGCGCCCCTCCACCAGCAGCCTGCGACACCCCTCCCTTGGGGAGGAGCCCACCCATGCTCTCATTGCCCCCGATGAACAGGTAAGGGAGCAGGCTTCCTGCCCCGTCCACTTGGTGGGGCAGGGGGGACCTTGCGAGATGGGGAGCATGCTGAGAGGGTCCCCAAAGAGGGAGGCTGCTTCCAGGAAGGGCCCTTCCCCGGGGCCTGTCTTCCCTCACCGGTCTCTCTTGGGGCCCTCCCCTGCCCGGCTTCCTCGGCCCTCGCCAGTCGCACACCTATGTCAACGCGCCCGCCAGCGAGGAGGAGCCCCGCAGGAGCCGCCACTGCCTGCAGCCGCTGCCCGAGGGCCGGGCACCCTTCCCCGCGCAGGCCCGAGGCCCCGAGCAGCTGCAGCGGGGGCCGCAGGTCTTCCTGCAGCCGGGCCGCGTGAAGTTCGTGCTGGGCCCCACGCCTTCGCGGCGGCACCTGCTGAAGTGCCAGGGCCTGGGCCCCGGCCTGCACGACCCGCCCCACCACAACAACAACGAGGGCCCCGCCGAGTGCCCCGCGCAGCCCAAGTGCACCTACGAGAACCTCGGCGGGGGGCCGCGGCCCGGGCCCGGCTGGAGACTGCGCCCGGAGGAGCCGGGCTGGCCCGGGCTGGCCCAGCGCCGGGCGGCCCTGCTGCACTACGAGAACCTGCCCTCGCTGCCGCCCGTGTGGGAGAGCCACGGGCAGCTGCTGGGGGACGAGGCCGGGGACGATGGGGACTCGAGGGACGGGCTCACGCCCTCCTCCAACGGCTTCCCCGAGGGCGAGGAGGACGAGACCCCCCTGCAGAAGCCCCCCAGCACCCGGGCGCCCGCCCGCAGCCACAGCAGCTTCCCCGCGCCCCTGGCCCGCCGCCGCGGCTCCCCGCGGGTCTTCAACTTCGACTTCCGCCGGCGGCCGGGCGCTGAGCCCCCCAGGCAGCTCAACTACATCCAGGTGGAGCTGAAGGGGTGGGGCGGAGACCGCGCCAGGGGGCCGCTGGTCCTGGCAGTGTGGGGTCTGCCTGCAGGTCCCCGGGGGTGACCTTAGGCCCCAACACTAGCTAAAGCCAACAGCTCTGCCTCCTGGTGAGCCCTACTGGTGCCCGTGGATGGCACACTCTGTCCATTGGCGTCATCCCTTACTAACAGAATGACATCTTCGCGCCTCAGTTTCCTCATCTGCCACATAGGGGTAACAGCTCCTCCCCCTGGATTAAACAGAGAGGTTGTCTGCCCAGCATGCACTGTGGACGCCAACCAATAGCAGACACTATTAAGCTCACCGAAGGCTGCTCTTCCAGGCATAACAAGGAGGCCACCCTTGTTCGAGACTCTAGATACTGTACTTCTGGGAATGGAGCCCTGGTTCCATAGTGAGTGGAGCCTTGGGCTGTTAACGGAAAGGTGGGCAGTTCAAACCCACCAGTCTTTTCAAGATAGAAAGAGGAGGCAGTCGGCGCCTGCAAAGGTTGGCGGCCCTGGAAACCCGAGGGAGCGGCTCTGTGCTGTTCTGTCCACGCAGAGCTGGTGTGACCGCACAGCAGCAGTGGGACGACAGCCCCAGAAAACTGTCACCTCATGGCTCCTGCTGGCTCTCGGGACCCATATTATAATTATTTTTAAATTCTGACCCAGTGGGTGATGTCATCTTCTTACAGAATCCTAGCTGGCCCTGTTCCAAGGTGAGACTAGGGAGGGGCTGACCGGTGTGAGTGGCAAGGGGCCAGGCTTGTAAATTTGGGGTGGCTCTGGTCCTGGTGGCAATCCTAGGCCCTTCTCTCTTTTGCCCCTGGGAGGCCCTGGCCCAGAGGGACCGGGGGTGGGGGGTTGACAGCCAGAGGCATCCCACCAGGAAGGGCTCTGTCAGGATGATGAAGCCCTGCTCCTTGCTGGAGGTGGGGGTGGGTGGGGGTGGGGCCAGCCGTGGCACAGGATTGATCCGCAAGCTCTGCCTTCCCCAGAGCACCTGGCCGACTCTCTTCAACTCCAGTGGGCCCCAGGCCCCCTGCTCCCCCCTAGCTCCTTGGCCCAAAGCTGAGCCCTGGGTCCCCCTTGGCGTGCCCAGCTCGGCCAGCTAGGGGCTGGAGCTGTAAAGAAGACAGACTTCAAGCCCTGGGTAGAAACAGCAGGGACACAGCAGTGTGTGTAGGGACCAGACCATCTGGCCTGCGATGTGTGACTTTCCCAGAGGGACTCTTGGGCATCTACTGCCCCCCACAGAAAACAGGGAGGCCCCAGTGACATGGCAGCACCCCTGCAAGCCCCAGGACTGCCCACAACCCCAGAGCATCCTCAGACCCCTGGGCAGGTCCTCAAAAGGAAATCCCACTTCTCAGAGCCACTCGGTCCAGGGCGCAGGGAGGCCTAGCCAAGACACGGAGAAAGGCTGCCTGGCCATTTGTCCTTGTCCTTGTCTGCACCCACCCCGAGGAAGAAGGGGACCAAGCTTCCTCACCCAGTAAGCAATCGGGACCTGATGCGCCCCCACCCTTTCTGCTTGGCAGAACACCTTGCTGGGTTCTCCTTCCTTGAGGGGCTTGGGTTGATGAGCTTCTGGGATACCCTGGCCTTGGGCAGTGGACACCTGGGACATGGACATAATAGGGTGTGAGGGAGGCTCTTCCTGCAGCCTGTAGGGCCCGAGGGTGCAGCTTCCAGAAGTTCAAAGCTGAGCCCAAATTGTTCTCTGACTTCCGTTTGATCTCTGGGCCAGAGAGACCCCCTCCCTCGCTGTAGCAGGGAAATGCCACCCCCACCCTCCTTATCTGGCCTCCACTTGGGGTCAGTGTCCCTCCAAAGGGGCCGCCCAAGATGGGGGCAGGTGTGGTCGAGGCAGGGGCAGGCCTTGCATCCGGGGTTTGGGGTTCTCCTGGTCCAGAGGCAGCGGCTGGTGGAGTCAAAGGGCCTCTGGTCCTGATCCAGCCCCTCTCTTTGCCCCCCCGCCCCCGTAGCAGTTGGGCTGCCCCAGGGGTCATGGTTTGTGCTCCTAGTAAGAGCGCTAGCTGTGGGGTGTGACGGAGGAGGCACTGATGGTCATACCCCTTTGGGAAGCAGGCAGTTTGGAGCCCCAACTGCTCCAAAGGCAAGCACCCTCCACGCTCCCACCCTCCCACCCCGGCTCACAGCCCTCGGGCACACTGGACCCCTTCCTGCGGTGACCAGGTCTCCTCAGCCCCCTTCCAACAAGTGGTCACGGCCCCAATGGAGCGGGCATTCCTGGAGCTGCCTGCAACCCAGCATGCCCTGTAACCAGGCTGCCCCTGCCTCTGACCCACAGGGTCTGCGGCAGGAATTTTCCTCTGGCCGGGAGGGTATGGGGTGTGGAGGTGTGGGGCCAGCCTTCCTGGCGGGACTCCCGCCCAGGAGCCTGCCGGCTGCTCCCGTGTGGAGCCCTGCCTGCTGACACCAGGGTGTGGTACACAGATGGAATCCGTTTCCATCACCCCTGACGTCCAAAGATCATCACCCACATGGCTGTGTGTTTGCTGAGCGCTCAGCCCTCTCCTTTGGGAGCAGGCCCTGCCCACCCCCCTGGGCTGCCCTCCGGAGAGGATGGGGCCCTGCTTCCTGTGCAGGAGTGACATTTCAGGTTAGACCAGGGGACCCTCCCCTTCCCGAGCCCACTGGAGGTAATGACAGCACTGGGCAGCGGCACAAACACCGAGGCCGGCTCCGCCATCGGCCACGTGGCCTTTTATCTGTCCGGCTCACGGGGCAGGATGGCTATCTGCCCCGAGCAGAGCAGGAAGCAGGCCGAGAGGTGAAGGGACTTGCCTCAGGCCAGTGGGTTAATTAGTGACCTCACTGGTGCTCCCTGTCTGGCCCGGAGGGACTGCGCATCCTCGGGTGGGCTGCAGGAAGAGGGTGTTGGGTGCTACACACACACACACACACACACACACACAGAGTAGGGGAGGGGCAGGTCACAGCAGGGGCCACCCAGCCCCATCTACCATGCTGCTGTCATTCTGGGAAATGGCGGCCATGGCTTGCCACGTCTTCCTCTCCTGGGCAGCCCCTCAGCTGCTGCCACGTTCTCGCTGAGTTCTGGGGTGCTCTCTGACCCATAGCTTAATGGTGGGAGTCATACTCTGAGGGAGGGGGGTTCATCATGAGGGCCACAGTGACCCCAGGCGGAGGGAGAACTGAAGTGGGATGGAAGAGCCTGTGTGCGCCTCTGGGGTGAGTCCCAGGTAGCACCTCGGAGCCGAGACCATCGGGGAGCCTATCGACAAGAGTTCCTCAAGCTGCTCACCCAGGTGTTCCCGGTCTCAGGAGCCCCGTCTCCACTCTAGGCCTGACAAAGAAGTGACAAGTACCCCCACACTCAAACCCAAATTCCCTGCCATCGAGTGGCTGGCAGCTCACAGGGACCTTCCAGGATGGGGTAGACCTGCCCCAGTGGGTTCCGGAGACGGCCACTCTGTGTGGGAGCAGGAAGCCCGTCCTCCTGGTGAGCCCTACTGGTGCCCGTGGATGGCACACTCTGTCCGTTGGCGTCATCCCTTACTAACAGAATGACATCTTCGCGCCTCAGTTTCCTCATCTGCCACATAGGGGTAACAGCTCCTCCCCCTGGATTAAACAGAGAGGTTGTCTGCCCAGCATGCACTGTGGACGCCAACCAATAGCAGACACTATTAAGCTCACCGAAGGCTGCTCTTCCAGGCATAACAAGGAGGCCACCCTTGTTCGAGACTCTAGATACTGTACTTCTGGGAATGGAGCCCTGGTTCCATAGTGAGTGGAGCCTTGGGCTGTTAACGGAAAGGTGGGCAGTTCAAACCCACCAGTCTTTTCAAGATAGAAAGAGGAGGCAGTTGGCGCCTGCAAAGGTTGGCGGCCCTGGAAACCCGAGGGAGCGGCTCTGTGCTGTTCTGTCCACGCAGAGCTGGTGTGACCGCACAGCAGCAGTGGGACGACAGCCCCAGAAAACTGTCACCTCATGGCTCCTGCTGGCTCTCGGGACCCTAAAACCCCAAAACACAAGCCCTGTTGTCATTGGTGGAGTAGATTCTGACTCGTGGTGACCTCGCGTGTTGCCAAGCAGAACAGGTAAGAAGACGTAGGCCTCTTCCCTTGGGTGTCACCTGTCCAGACTCCGATGACGGCCTTCCCTGGTGCCTTGAGGGGGCTGGAATCGCCATCTCTCATCAGCTTAGTGGCTGAGCACAAGGAAACTCGGGACCTTAAAACAGACCGAATCCACCAGCTCTTCCCATCCCCACCCCTTCACCCCACTTTCTAATGGCATCCACACCTGAACTGCCTGTTCATCTGTCCTTGGGAGTGAAAGCTCCCAGCTCTCGCTGTGCAATACGGGAGGGGGTGGGATGGCAGGGGACCGTAGAGACCAGCCCTGGGGCTGTCCGGTAGAAGGGATGGGAGGAGGTTCTCCACTGGGGCTGTTCATGAGGGCTCGGCTGCTCTAGTAGCAGTTCCAGAAGCTTCTCTACAATGTTGAGTGGTTGTTAAGAAGCCTCGGCAACATCGGCAGTGTCTTTCTTGCCACCGGCCTTGCTCACCGCCGGCTCTGTCTCTCGGTGCCCTGGGTTCCAGAGTCCCGGGACAGGCGTCCCTGGCATTGTGGCTGGTGGAGGGAGAGGAGCTGGGGAGGTGAGGCGTGCGAAAGCACCACTCGGGGTCTGGTGCTCGGCTGTCATGATGCTCATTCTTTGGGGATTATTAATGTCATTACGGAGTTAATGAGCAGTTTGGGGGGTTCCACCACCACCCTGGTGCCTACTGATTGAACGGGCTTTCCTCAGTGGTCTCCTCCCTCTGCTCTGCCCCTTCGGCACGGTCTTTCAGGCGTTCCCTCTCGGGTTCTCTCCCTTTCCCATCTCGCCAGGCTCCGCTTCCCTCTGGGTGAGAAGGCCCCATGTGTTAGTCAGGGTTAATTAGAGAATTAAGTCCATAAGCACTCATATGCATATAAGAAGAGCTTTTTGTAAAGAGTAATTGCATATTAAGAAAACATCCCAGCCCAGTCAGCTCAAGTCTATGTCTGATGTTAGCCCATATGGCCCATACCAGTCTATA